GGAAGAACTGAGAATAGGGCGTGGCCAGGCAGGGCGGGGCTCAGAGCAGGGCATGGGCTGGGCGTGGCCTGGGCAAAAAATGAACCCGAGGAGCGTTCCCCTTGAGAACATAGAGCAGGCCAGGTGGGGGCTCCGCAAGAGGCAGAAGACAAGGGTATAACATTTCAGAGGCTGATACCTGCACAAAGGAAAGGAGCAACTCCTCATCATACAGGGAGAAAACAGCAATGAGGGTCTCCCAATCTGAAGACCTCTTGACCCACTTAAAGCCAATAGCTAAGACCAATGACTACACACGCTAGTTTATGGCACTAGTTCATTCTACCTATCCATTTCCAGAAAGGACAGGACCAAAGGTCTGCTGACTTCAGGGAGGGCCCCTACTCCAGACTCCCCTGTTTGCACCATCATTGACCTCAGCTATGTTAACTTTCTCTATCCATCTCCCCGCCATGTCTTATGGGAGAAAAGTGACCTAATTGGTTGGCGGGTTTACTCAAAGAAGTGGGCATCTCATTTGGGGTAAGCCTGTCCACAGGACGTGTGTTCTGTGGTCAGCTTTACATCATACGGTTGGAATCCTGGACTCATAGAGGGTCTTTGCGTGTCCAGCTCAGCGGTGACTACGTGAGTTTAATTCTAGGATACACTGACATTAGTCTTACATAGCCACAGACCAAGAGGCACCAAGATACCCTGACCAGGGTTATGGGCAATTTTAAAAATTCTGTTTTTGACCAGGTGCAGTGGTTCGTGACTGTAATCACAGCACTTTGGGAGGACGAGGCGGGCAGATCACTTAAGCGCAGGAGTTCAAGACAAGCCTGGCCAACATGGCAAAACCCCGTCTCTACAAAAAAAAAAAAAAAAAAAAAAAAAAAAAAAACACTTAGCCGGAAGGGCTAAAAAAAAATTAGCCAGGAGGACTGGAATCACGCACCTGTGATTCCAGCTACTTGGGAGGCTGAGGTGGGAGGATCACTTGAGCCTGGGAGGTGGAGGTTGCAGTGAGTGGAGATCACACCACAGCACTCTAGTCTGGATGATAGAGTGAGGCCTCATGTCAAAAGAAAATTTTTTTTTAAAAAAGATATTTTTGGCCGGGCATGGTGGCTTACACCTGTAATCCCAGCACTTTGAGAAGCCAAGGTGGGCGGATCACTTGAGGCCAGGTGTTCAAGACCAGCCTGGCCAACATGGCAAAACCCCATCTCTACTAAAAATACAAAAATTAGCCAGGTGTGGTGGTGCACGCCTGTAATCCTAGCTACTTGGGAGGCTAAGGCAGGAGAATCGCTTGAACCTAGGAGGCAGAGGTTGCAGTGAGCCAAGATCACATCACTGAACTCCAGCCTAGGCAACACAATGAGACTTTGTCTCAAAAAAAAAAAATTCTTCCATCTTTTTGGCTGTTGTGCTACTTTTCAAATTGTTTTTGAATTGGGATGATGCTCTTAATTAATCCCCTAAAACTACAAAAGAAGAAGAGGAGGAGGAAGAAGAAAAAGGAGAAAGAGAATAAAGGGGAGGAAAAGAGGAGGAGGAGGAGGAGGGGGGAGGAGGAGGAGGAGGAGGAAGCAGCAGCCAAGAGATCTCCCAGACACCATCTCACAAGCAGAGATGACACCCTCTGAGCTAGGAATCGACTGAGCTCATGGGGCATCCTGGAACCTTCCCTCTTAACCTCAAAATTGGTACCTGGTTCTCCTCCATAGAAAGTTAAAAAACAGGAAAGGAGAAAAGGAGATCAGGAGAGCCAGCCCAGGACAATGATTGGCCCCCAGGTGTTGCACCAGCTGGAGGCCCTCCAGAGCCCTGGACATTATTGGACAACTCAGAAGAGGTGTTTAAGGAAGGGAGAGAGCAGATGCCCTAGGAGAGGACATGAAGGACAAGTGCAACCAGAAATGGTGCTGGGGTGGGGAGCAAGGCCATACCTGGAAGACGTGCCCATGGCAGTGATGAGGGCTTGTAGCATGCCCCCAATGAAGGGGAAGGGGTTCCGATGAGTGATGAGGAAGTAGATGAGGGGAAGGACGCCACCGGCATGGAGAAGCAGGCCCACGATGACGGTCAGGGTGTACATGCCCAGCTGACCCCCCAGGACGGCCATGTCTTCCATCTCCAGAATCTTCCCAGCAATCAGGAACAGGATGCCCACAGGTGCATACCTGTGTGAGGGAGCCACATACCCGTCAGGGCTCCCTCCTAACCTCCCTTGCAGGTCTGAGGCTGGCATCCCCAAGGCTTTGCTCATATAGGGCCCTGGAGCCATGCAGTACCCATGATACAGCACCCTACTCCATCCCAGTCTTCCCCATACACTAACGAATGCCACCGGGCCCCACGAATGAAGCCCACCTCCTCCTCCTGCTCTTCCTTATCTCCCCATCATGGTAGAAAAGGTCCTACAACTCCAGGATATACAACCTTTCAGGTATCTACTCCCCATTCAAGCCCTCTCAACCATGCCCCAAATAATCACTACCTTCAGGATCCTTCCCTAGACGTTGCCAAGGCATTCCCTGTCTCTGGCCTTCTAAGCTTCCCTTATCTTCTGCCCCCAACTCTTTGTTCCACATTTGAAACTTGTATGCCCCTATTCTCTTCCTTATCAGTGCCTGTTCTCACTCATTCACCAGCCTAATAATTTCCCTCTCAAAACACCTGTCCTATCAAAATCACCAATGTATTCATTCATTCATTCCACAGATATTAACTGAGTACATACTATGTTCCAGGCACATGGCTCCTGTCCTCATAGCACTTACATTCTGTTATGGACTAAATGTTTATGTCCCCTTCCCTCTCCAACCAAATTCATATGTTGAGATCCTAACCCCCAGTGGGACAGTGGGAGGTGATTAGGTCATGAGGATGGAGCCATCATGAATGGAATTAGTGCCCATATAAAAGACACACCAGAGAGCTCCCTCCATCCTTCTGCCATTCAAGGACACAGCAGGAAGACGCCTTCCATGAACCAGAAGACAGCCCTCACCAGACACGGAATCTGTGGGTGCTTTGATCTTAGACTTCCCACCCTCCAGAACTGTGAGAAATACATTTTTGTTCTTTAAGCCACAATGTCTATGTATTTTGTTACAGCAGCTGACATGTACTAAGACACATTCTAATGGGGAAAGCAAGAGGTACACATAGAAACGCACCAATTACAAACTTCAAGTGGTGATAACAGCAAAGGAGAGTCACTGTATGGGACTGCTTCTGAGCAGATGATCAGAGAGGGCTTCTCTGAAGAGGTGACATTTAAGCTTTTACATGATAAAAAGGTACCCTGGGTGTCTGGGAGAAATCATTGCAGGCACAATGCAAAGACTCTGAGATGCGCACGCACTAGGAGTGCTGGAGGACCAGAGAGAAGACCAGTGTGGCTGGAGTAGTGAGTAAAAAGGAGAATAAAGAAGATGAAAGAAGCAAGTTCATCAGGGGCTCACCTGTTTTCCCCACAATCCAGCCCACTGGTCAATCATGTGAGTTTCTGCCATCGACACCATCATCTCATTTCTAGGCTTCAGTGGCTACTCCTTTCTCTTTAAAAATTGAAGTCTATAGCCGGGCGTGGTGGCTCATGCCCATAATCCCAGCACTTTGGGAGGCTGAGGAGGGTGGATCACTTGAGGTCAGGAGTTCAAGACCAGCCTGGCCAACATGGTGAAACCCTGTCTCTACTAAAAATACAAAACTTAGTCAGGTATGGTAGTGTGTGCCTGCAGTCCAGCTACTCAGGAGGCTGAGGCAGAAGAATCATTTGAACCCAGGAGGTGGAGGTTGCAGTGAGCTAAGATCACACCACTGCACTCCAGCTTGGGCAACAGAGTGAGACCCCATCTCGAAAAAAAAAAAAAAAAAAGGAAATCTGCTTTGACTCACGCTCATCATGGATGTATTGGAGGAGGCGGGGACCTCTTGGGAAGGTGGTACAATAGCTTGAGTCAAAAATGAGGATGTGAGGGACTTCTCCAGTCACATCTGTGTTCTCCAAATGGCTCAGTTAGCCCGGACGAGTAGTTGCTGAGTCTTCTCCAAGTCAACATGACTAGATCCACCCCTGTGCTTACTCTGAGTAATCCCTCTCTCAACTTCCTCACCTCCATCCTTCCACCTCATCCCCTGCAAAATTCCTCAGCCCAAGATTAATTGTGCATGATTTCTTACCCCCTACACTCAGCCACCTGGCAAACCTGGACATTTCACCCAGTCATGCCAATGACAGTGCTATACATTCATTGTTCCCAATTTAGCTGAGCCTTCATTGTTCCTTGTTAATTATCTGCTTATCCTGAATAAGCTCCCCACTCCCATTCCTTTCAAATGCTTTCCCAGGCCCTCAACTTGGCCTCAAGTTTCTTATATGTAGTCTTCAAAGTTTCCCTTCTTGTTAAAGAATAAATCTTAAGTGTTAAAAATCGTTTCCTTTAAAGACTAACTTCCTTCAAGCCTCCTTACTTTATGCTAGTAACTTTTTGTTAAGCCCTATCCTATGTAGCTATTGACACGTTCACAGGCACATAATACATTCTATGTCCTTGTAGTTTAACAAAGATATCGGTGCTGGATGTGCTCACAGGCACGTCCCAGCTCGCAGCCTATACCCCTTCCTTATTTGGGAATGTTATTACTTTTTCTAAGTCCTTTTGTAAGCAACTTCCTCTTTTCCTCTGTTTTCCATTGCTTTTACCTACTTAGAAAAGTTTTAAGTTATTAGCCAGTTGGGTTTTAGTTTAGATTGTAAGGTCTGGCTCCAGCCAATGGAGACAGGACACAGTAGCAGGGACAAACTGTGAAAGGGATAAAAATTGCTTCCCTCCTTTGTTCAGGTGTGCTCTTGCCATTGTTCCATCTGCAGTGAGCACCCTTTCTGCAGAAGCTAAAATTGCCTTGCTGAGATAATTAAATTTATGTTCAAGTGCTATTTCTTTGCGGCACTAGGGAACAAGCATTCTGTTTCTAAATAAACATTTTACATATAACACTATACAACTTTCCAATTGTTTGGGATGATGTACAAAGTTTTCTCCCATTTGGAATCAGACAGCCTTGTTAATATCATCCACCACCACTCCCAACTTACCCCATGCTCTCACCTTCCTGAATGCCCCACCACTCTCCGAACAACTTAGGTACCTTCAAGCTTTGCATGTTCTCTTCTCTCTGCCTGAAATACGTCTCCCCTCTCACTGTCCAGTTGAAGTCCTACTCACCTGTCAAGATGCAGTTAACAGGTGACCTTCTTCATGACTCCCTCTTCAGAAAGCATTCACTGTGTACCCCTCTACTCACTGCTCACTTCTCCATGTTCCCAACACTTCTTAAATGTTCCTTTACTACAGAACCTACCACCTTGTGCTATATTGATCTACAATGTGTCTGTCTCCCCTAAGATTTTGTGAGCTCCTTGAGGACAAGTATGAGTGCATTGTGTCTCTGTATTCCAGAGATCAAGACAAAGTCTGCCTGGGAAAATGCCTGCTGAGTGAATAAAGAAATTTCTGAAGGAATGAAGGAATTTAGAGAAGGAAAGACGAGGGAAGGGAAGGGAAGGGAAGGATAGGATTAGCAAGTGGATGAAAAAGCAAGGAAACAAGTAGATGAAACAAGTTAGTAGCTGAGTGAACAAATACATGAACAAATGAGTGAATGAAGAGAATACTTGAGTAAATGAATGAAAGAATAACAAATGCATAGATGAATAAGTGGGTCAAGGAATGAATTAGAATGAATAAATGACTTAACTGAGTAAATAAACAGATGAGTCCACCAATGATTTAACTAATGCATGGATGAGTTTGTAGATAAATTTACGAGTGAATGAATGCATAAATGAGAGAATTAACTGACGCATGGAAGAGTGAAGAGATGAATAAGAAAATGAATGAACCGATAGAAAAATGAGAATGATAAGTGAATTTATTGGTGAGTGAAGAGATAAATGAGGAAGTAAGTGGGTGAATAAATCATTGCAGAAAGCTATGAATGAATGAATAGTAACTAACCAATGCATAGGAGATGAATAAATCCCTGTCGCTTGTGACAACACAGATGAACCTGGAGGACATTATGCTAATTGAAATAACCAAGATACAGAAAGACAAATACCACAAATACCACATGATCTCACTTATCTGTGGAATCTAAACAATCAAACTCACAGAAGCAGGGAGTAAAATGGTGGTTACCAGGGACTCACAGGGAAGGGAGGTTGAGGAGATGTTGACCAAGGATACAAAATTTCGGTCAAATAGGAGAAATAAGTTCAAGAGATCTATTGGACTACATGGTAGGTATAGTTAAAAACAATGTAGCATGTACTTGCAAATCACAAAGAGAGTAGATTTTAAGTGGTCTCTCTCTCTTTTTTTTTTTTTTTTTTTTTTTTTTGAGACTGGGTCTCATTCTGTCACCCTGGCAATCACACCTCACTGAAGCCTCTACATCCCAGGCTCAATCTGTCCTCTTGCCTCAGCCTCCCAAGTAGCTGGGACTACAGGTGCATGCCACCACACCCAGCTAATTTTTTTGTATTTTTTGTAGAGACAGGTCTTGCCATGTTTCCCAGGCTGGTCTCAAATTCCTGGGCTTAAGTGATTCTCTCACCTTGGCCTCCCAAAGTGCTGAGATTATAGGCATGAGCCACCACACCCTGCCTAGATCTTAAGTGTTGTCACCACAAAAAAATAAGCATGTGAGGTAACGTCTATGTTAGTAGCTCAACTGAACCATTCCACAATGTAGAGATATTTCAAAACATTATGTTGCACATGAAAATATATACAGTTTTTATTTGTCAATTAAAAATACATTAATTTTTAAAAATAAATGAATGACCAAATAAATCCAGAAACCAATGCATGAAATAATAAATGTAGATAAATAAATGTCAGTGAATGGTTTGGTCAAGGCATTGAAGAATGAGTGAATGAACAGATAAGCAAGGGAGTGAACAAATCATTGCAGAAAAGTGTGAATGAATGAATGAGTTAGTGAGTTGGCCAGTGATTTAACCAATGCATAGAAGAATCAATAAATGAATGAGGAAATGAGTAAATCAATGCATGGAAGAATGAGTGTAGATGAATAAATCACTGAATGAGTGATTTCGTCAATGCATAGAAGAATGAGTGAATGAACAGATGAACACAGGAGTGAATGTGTGAATGAATCATTGCAGAAGGACACGAATGAATGAAAGAGTGAGATATTCCATGAAACTAACCAATGCATAGAAGAATTAATGAATGAACAGATGAACAAGGAAGTGAACCAGTGATGAAATCATTGCAGAAAGACATGAGTGAATGAGTTGGTGAGTGGGTAAATAAATTACCCAATACATAAATGAATGACCAAAAGTCCCCAGCAAGCCTTCAGCAGCTTCCCCATAGCCTGACTTCCCAGCTCTGGCTCCATCTTCCCATGGGCACGGACCAGGACTCACCAGATAATGATGCCCACCAGCCTCATAATAGCCTCATTGAGGCTGTCGAAGAAGTCCCTGAGGACTCGGCCCTTGTGTTTCATGCCACCAATGACCAGCCCAAAGGCCACAGAGAAGACCACGAGGCCCAGGGCGTTGATGCCATTGGCGGAACCAGGCACGGGTACAGTCTCCTCAAAGCTCAGCACCTCCTGCAGGGTGCCCAAGGCCCGAGTGACATTTTCCAGGAGGCTGGTTCCGTTATCCACTGAGAATGGAGGAGGCATGGAGGCACCCAGCTCAGACCCGTTCTCTGTCCTCACGATGGTCCTGGTTACCACCCTCGTGCTGTACTGCGTCTTGAACTGAAATAGAGAGAGATTGCGCCCAGACTCAATTCAGCGGATGCATCAGAATCGCCTGGAGAAATTCCTTGAGACCACTGATTCCCAGTTCCCACACCCTGGAAGATCTTATCCAGCAGAACCGAATGAGTGAATGAATGATTTGAACAGTGCGTGGAAGAATGAGTGAATGAATCAGTAAACCCATTATGAAAAATAGTATGGCAGTTCCTCAAAAAATTAAAAATAGAACTACTGGCCGGGCGTGGCTCACGCCTGTAATCCCAGCACCTTGGAAGGCCGAGGCAGGCACATCATGAGGTCAGGAGTTCAAGAGCATCCTGGCCAACATGGTGAAACCCTGTCTTTACTAAAAATACAAAAATTAGCTGGGCGTGGTGGTGCGCGCCTGTAGTCCCAGACACTTGGGAGGCTGAGGCAGGAGAATCGCTTGAACCTGGGAGGCGGAGGTTGCAGCGAGCTGAGATGGTGTCATTGCACTCCAGCCTGGCGACAGAGTGAGACTCGGTCTCAAAAAAAAAAAAAAAAAAAAAAAAAATTGAACTACCGTAGGACCAGCCATCCCACAACTGTATATATCCAAAGGAAATGAAATCAGTATCTCAAAGAGATATCTGCTCTCCCATGTTTATTGTAGCACTATTCACAATAGCCAAGATATGAAATCTACATAAGTATCCATCAATGAATGAATGGATACAGAACATGTGGTATACATATACAACGAAATACTATTTGGCCTTGAAAAAGGAGGGGATCCTGTCATTCATGACAACAGGGTTGAACCTGAAAAACACTGTGCTACGTGAAATAAGCCAGGCACAGAAAAACAAATATTGCATGCTCTCGCTTATCTGTGGAATTTAAAAGAGTTGGACTCATAGAAGCAGAAAATAGAATAGTGCTTACCAGGGACTGGGAAACAGGGAAAACTGGGGAGATGTTGGTAAAAGGACACAAAATTTCAGCTAGACAAGAGGAATAAGTTCAAGAGCTCTATTATATGACATGGTGACTCTAGCTAATAACAATGTATTGTGTATTTGAAAATCACCAAAAGGGTAGATGTTCAGTGTTTTTATCGCAAAAAATGATAAGTATATAAGGTAATTGATATGTTAATAAGCTTGATTGAGCCACTCCACAATGCAGACATATTTCAAAACATCGTCATGCCTCATTAATACATATAATTTTTGTGTGAATTTAAACATAAATAAATTAAAAAAAATTTTTTTTGAAGAATAAGTGACTGAATAAATGAATGAGGAGGTGAACAACCAATGTGTGGAAGTAGTATAGATTCCGAATTGTTCACAAGCTCCCTGGGCAATGCTTAACCAGAGTTGAGGGCCTCTCCCCTCAACCATCTATGGTCAAAATTTCTGGAATCTCTACACCAGCCTCGATGCCTCCTCTAGCCCTGTGCTCAGGAAGTCCTTGGCCTAAGTCCTCTTTTTTTTTTTTTTTTTTTTTTCGCTTTTTTGAGATGCGGTCTTGCTCTGTCACCCAGGTTGGAGTGCAGGGGTGTGATCACTGGAGCCTTGATCTCCTGGGTTCAAGCAATCCTCCCACCTCAGCCTCCCAAGTAGCTGAGACAGGCGTGCCCAGCTAATTTTTTTTTTTAATCTTTTTTTTTTTTTTTTAAAGACAGAGGGTCTCACTCTGTTGCCCAGGCTGGTGTTGAACTTTTGGCCTCAAGTAATCCTCCCACCTTGGCCTCCCTAAGTGCTGGGATTACAAGCCTGAGCTACCATTCTCGGACCTAAGTCCTTCTCCCTAACCCTCCCAGATCACCATGGAAAATACATCCTTTCTCCTAGACTCCTCTAGAACCCCTGCCCATTGCTCCGTCTGGCCCTTCCTCCCACCTCTTACCCTTGGACCATCCCTTCAGCCTCAAGCTCCCGCCACCCTCCGAATCTCCCTGATCAAACTGTGTACTTCCCCCTGACCTGTTTGAAGCAGGCCTCCACAAGGTTTGGTGGAAACATATTTCTGCAGAAAAACATCAGAAGAAGGAAAGTGGTTAGACCATGGAAGGGCATCTAGGGTGATAACAGTAATACTAACACCAAGAACAACAGTAATGCAGCCAGCACATGAATGCTTCCTCTAGGCTGGGCACTGAGCAAGTATCTTGCTATCATCTGATTTAAACACTACAATAACCCCAGACGTAAGTTGTATTTAATGCCCCATTTCACATAGAAAGAAACCAAAGCTCAGAGAATTGATGTAAGCTACCCAGAGCCACAGACCTGCTAAGAGGTGCAGATGGCCCTCAAATCCAGGTCTGTCTGAGCACGTGGCCAGAGCCCTACATCACCTCAAGGACTTTCATTCAAACACACGTGTGTCAGTGATGCCTCAAAAATCCACAGAAAACTCCTAAACCCTTTTAACTTTAGGTTTCCCCTAGGCCCATGATTAAGGTAGAACCAAGGCTAGCCTTGAATCTGGGTGGCAAAAATCTTGCTGCTCTAATTAAAACCACAATGAGATACCACCTTACTCCAGCTAAAACAGTCATTATTAAAAAGTCAAAAAACTACAGATGTTGGCATTGATGTGGGGAAAAGGGGACACTCACACATTGCTGGTGGGAATGTAAATTAGTACAACCTCTGTGGAAAATGGTATGGAGATTTCGTTTTCTTTTTTTTTTTTTTTTTTTTTTTTTGAGACGGAGTCTTGCTCTGTCGCCCAGGCTGGAGTGCAGTGGTGCGATCTCGGCTCACTGCAAACTCCGCCTCCCAGGTTCAAGCAATTCTCCTGCCTCAGCCTCCCAAGTAGCTGGGATTACAGGTGCCTGCCACTACGCTTGGCTAATTTTTTGTATTTTTAGTAGAGACAGGGTTTCACCATATTAGGCAGGATGGTCTCAATCTCCTAACCTCGTTATCTGCCCGCCTCAGCCTCCCAAAGTGCTGGGATTACAGGCATGAGCCACTGAACCTGGTGGAGATATTTCTTAAAGAGCTAAAAGTAGATCTACCATTCCACCCAGCAATCCCACTACTGGGTATCTATTCAAACGAAAAGAAGTCACTATATCAAAAAGACACCTGCACATATATGTTTATCACAGTACAATTCACAGTTGCAAATAAATGGAACCAACCTAAGTGCCCATCAACTGATGAGTGCATAAAGAACACATGATATATGTACACCATGGAATACTACTCAGCCGTGAAAAAGAATGAAATAGGCTGGGTGCAGTGGCTTACTCCTGTAATCCCAGCACTTTGGAAGGCCGAGATGGGTGGATCGCTTGAGGCCAGGAGTTGGAGACCAGCCTCCCCAACATGATAAAACCCCGTCTCTACTAAAAATACAAAAATTAGCTGGGCATGGTGGTGGGCACCTCTAATCCGAGCTACTCAGGAGGCTGAGACAGGAGAATCACTTGAACCCGAAGGGCAGAGGTTGCAGTGAGCCAAGATCGTGCCACTGCACTCCAGCCTGGGCGACAGAGTGAGAAGTCAGACTCTTGTCTAAAAAAAAAATTAAAAAAATTAAAAAATAAAAATAATGCCTGTGGCATGGATGGAGCTGGAGGCCATTATTCTAAGTGAAGTAACTCAGGAATGGAAAACCAAATACAGTATTTCTCACTTATAAGTGGGAACTGAGCTATGAGTATGCAAAAACATACAGAGTGACATAATGGACACTAGCAACTCAGAAGCAGGAGGCGGGGACAGTAGTTAGAAATTAAAAACTACACATTAGGTACAATGTACACTACTAGCGGGACAGATGCACTAAAATCTCAGAATTCACCGCTATATAATTCGTCCATGTAACAAAGAAACACTTGCTCCCCAAAAGCTACTGAAATTAAAAATTAAAATTTTTTTCATAGGCCGGGCACAGTGGCTCACGCCTGTAATCTCAGCACTTTAAGAGGCTCAGGCGGGTGGATCACTTGAGGTCAGCAGTTCAAGACCAGCCTGGCCAACATGGTAAAACCCTGTCTCCACTAAAAATACAAAAATTAGTCTGGTGTGGCACGCGCCTGTAATTCCAGCTACTCTGGAGGCTGAGGCACAAGTAGAGCTCGAACCCTGGAGGCAGAGGTTGCAGTGAGTCAAGCTCATGCCACTGCACTCCAGCCTGGGTGATGGAGTGCAAAAATAAAAATAAAAACAATTAAAAGAGTAAAGGCAACTATTAATAGCCAAAATATTTTTTTAAATAATAAAAATCAAAAATTTAGTTAATTTTTAAAAAAATTGTGCTGCTTCTATTTCCCATAGCAAAGACTTGGAACTGACCCAAATGCCCATCAGGGATAGACTGGATAAAGAAAATATGGCACACGTATGCCATGGACTACTATGCAGCCATAAAAAAGAATGAGTTCATGTCCTTTGCAGGGATGTGGGTGAAGCTGGAAGCCATCATTCTCAGCAAACTAACATAGGAACAGAAAACCAAACACTGCATGTTCTCACTCATAAGTGGGAGTTGAACAATGAGAATACATGGACGCAGGGAGGGGAACATCACATACCGGGGCCTTTCAGGGGGTGGGAGGGGCAAAGGGAAGGAGAGCATTAGGACGAATACCTAATGTATGTGGGGCTTACAACCTAGATGACAGGTTGATAGATGCAGCAAACCACCATGGCGCATGTATACTTATGTAAGAAACCTGCACGTTCTGCACATGTATCCCAGAACTTAAAGTAAAAAATAAAATAAAATATAAATGTAAAAATCATGCTGCTTTAAGAGAATCATTCACCCTCCAATGATGCTTAGGGAAACACCAGCTGTTCTGACCTCACCTTGAGGGTCATATCCTAAGATCATATTCTAGCAGCCGCTGCCGCTGGAGAATATATGCAAGGTTCCAGGGCAGAAATTGGGTACCAAAAATGGGTACTATGGGTGCTGCTATGTCCAGCCTGCAGCAGCCTGTCCCCTTTGTCTCTCCTTGAGTATGAGTTGTTGCAAGTAGAGTCAGAAATCATATCAAAATGAGTACAGCCACCTGTAAACTAAAAGTAACACCTAAGCCACCACCACCGCCAACAGCTGAACAGACTCTCGTGTGGCCAAGTGGACCCCAGAACAACTTTAAAACTGAGTTCCTGGCCATGATGGGACAGGAGGTCAGACACGCCTCCTTACACCCTCTCCCTTTTATAATCTACACACAACAACTAACCCACATCAATGTTAAATTAGGGTGTTAAATTAATTAAAACAGAAATCATAAGACTGATAGAACACACTCCTTGTGGCAATAAGACACCAAACTATAAGCAGGATCTAAGGCCATGTCAGGCAGGGGTGAAGTCATGCACCCTACACTCAAATAATAAATTGTGTTCTAGCTACCAAAAGGTTCTTCTTTTTCTCTAGGAGTTAAACAAACACTAGCCTTAAGATAAGCAATATTAAAATAATTACAACTCATAAGCTCACAGACAAGGACTAATGGGGCCCTTGTTCCACCAGCTGTAACTACAGCTTTGATTGGGCAAGAGACCGATTTCAGTAACTTTCTCCTGATAACACCACTGACCATGGGCTGCTTCTGGCTCATTGACAGAGGTTGTGCATTTGGGTACCTTCGTGTCCTGAAAAGACCTTTTGATGTATAAAGCCTAAATGTGATACATTTAAATGTTAACTAAATGTTAAGTCTCCACCCCAAAGTGGACATGGGGTCATATGTTACATGCAAGTTTGTTCAATATGCATGCATCAGGGTCACCTACATGAATATTCATAGCTCCTCCTACAACCTGTTGAATATGGATGTTTAGCCAACCTATTCAGCATAAAGCTCCTACTCCAACCCCTCCTCCTTAGAAGTGCCTGTCTCTGATCCTGACCAGACGCATACTTCCCAGCCTGTGGGATGACCGCTTTGCAGGCTATAACCTTTTACAACAAATAAAGTCTCCTTTTCCAAATATGTATATTGTGATTTTTTAGGTCGGCATACCTGATCAGATCCATGAAGGCATCAGCTGTGGGGATGGTCTCGATCCGGCCCTCCCGGTGCAGCCCCTCCTTGGAGCCCTTCCCGGGATGGATGATGGTGACCATGAGGATGCCGATGAAGACTGCGATGATGGTGGTCACCATGTAGTACACAGCTGCCCGCATCCCCATCCGCCCCGTGGCCTTGTTGTCCAGGGATGCCATACCTGCAGGACAGATGATGTGGTCCCCCCGCAGCTCCACGCATACCCAACGCCAGCCCTCCCAGCCATCCGTTCCACCCTCCCCGTATTACCAACTCAACAGCCATCCCACCAAGCATCCCTTTTCCTACAGCCCACCCCAAAACCCACCCATTACCCATTCACCAGCACCACCATCTTTCTACTTCCATTCTATTTTCCAAATACACACCCTCACACTCACCCCAACCCTTATCCTAAGCAACATTCCACTATCCTACTGCCTTACCTGTTGATGTCTGATCAGATCCATGAAGGCATCAGCTGTGGGGATGGTCTCTCGATCCGCCCTCCCGTGCAGCCCTCCTTGGAGCTCCTTCCCCGGGATGGGATGATGGTGACCATGAGGATGCCGAAGACTGCGGCGATGGTGGCTGCCATGTAGTGCACACAGCTGCCCGCATCCCCATCCGCCCCTGTGGCTCTTGTTGTCCAGGGATGCCATACCTGCAGGACAGATGATGTGGTCCCCCCGCAGCCCCCACGCACCCAATGCCAGCCCTCCCAGCCATCCGTTCCACCTCCTGTATTACCAACTCAACAGCCATCCCACCAAGCATCCCTTTTCCTACAGCCCACCCCAAAACCCACCCATTACCCATTCACCAGCACCACCATCTTTCTACTTCCATTCTATTTTCCAAATACACCCTCACACTCACCCCAACCTCATCCTAAGCAACATTCCACTATCCCATTGCCTTACCTGTACTCCAAGCCAATCTTTCTTACTCTTCACCCCATCCCTATTAACTCTTGTTTGTTTGGCACCATAACCTAACTTTCTTTCTTTCTATTCTCTTTCTTTTTTTTTTTTTTTTTTTTTTTTCCCTGAGACGGACTTCCTCTGCCCAGGCTGAGTGCATGGAAGACCCGGCTCACCGCAACCTCCATCTCCTGTGCTCAAGCAATTCTCCTGCCTCAGCCTTCCGAGTAGCTGGGATTACAGGCGCCTGCCACCACAGCCAGCTAATTTTTGTATTTTTGGTAGAGACGGGGTTTCACCATGTTGTTCAGGCTGGTCTCGAACTCCTGACCTCAGGCGATCCACCCGCCTCAGCCTTCCAAAGTGCTGGGATTACAGGCGTGAGCCACTGCGCCGGGCCCATAACCTAACTTTCATTCCGCTTGTCATCCCACTATTCATCCCAAAATCCCACCTTCCTCCAACCCACCTCACTGCACACCCTTTGTAGCACATATTCTTGGTGCTCCACTCCTACACCCTTTCCCAAGCCAATATGCTGATCCTTCAGCCCCAAGAGCACTGTCTACAAATAGCTCAGGCTGCCCTTCTCCTTCTCCTGAAAATTGCCTCAACAAAACAGGAACTGCCTTGCCCACAAAAACCCCAGGGGAGACCTCTAGCCAATGAATGACCGTGCAAGATTCACAATGGCCAACTCCTTTGATCTAGGTGGCAGAGCTGGGAGGGGTTCAACTCTGTGGTTCTGCTCACACCCAGAGAGCTCCCCATGGAATCAGGTTGACAGGCCAGCCTTCTTCTGAAACTCCACATCTTTACTTCACTGGTTTCCAGTCCGGTCCTAATTTCCTCACTCTCATGAGCTTCTCTTGAGCTACCCCGCAATAAATCACTGGTGCAGACATCCCCATCTCAGTCAGGCTCTGCTTCCAGGAAACCCAACCTAAGAAACCATTTCTTCATGCTTTTTCTTCTCTCCCCATCCCCAAATCCAGGAATTGGCAAACTGCTACTCCTTGCCAAATCCGGCCCCCTCTGCCTGCTTTAAATAAAGTTTTATTGAACACAACTGTGCCCATTTGTTCTCATATTGTCTATGGCTGCTTTGTGCTACAATGGCAGAATCGAGTGTGAACTGACCCTTGAACAGCATGGATTTCAACTGTTCGAGTACACTTATGCATGGATTTTCTTCCGCCTCTGCCACCCTTGAGACAGCAAGACAAGCCCTCCCTCCTTCCTCCTCCTCAGCCTACTCAGCATGAAGACAATGAGGATGAAGATCTTTATGATGATCCACTTCCACTCAATTAATAGTAAATAAAATTTCTTCCTTATCATTTTTTAATAGACAGAGTCTCACCCTGTTGCTTCAGGCTAGAGTGCAGTGGTACCATCATAGCTCACTGCAGCCTCCTGGGTTCAAGTGATCCTCTTTGCCTCAGTTTCTCGAGCTGGGGACTATGGGCATGTATCACCACGTCCTGCTGATTTTTTTATTTTTTGTAGAACTGGAGTTTCACTGTGTTGCCCAGGCTGATATCAAACTCCTGGGCTCAAGCAATCCTCCTGCCTCAACCTCCCAAAGCACTGGGATTACAGACATAAGCCACCTCACCTGGCCTGATTTTCTTAATAACATTCTATTCTCTAGCTTACTATATTTTAAGAATATAGTATATAACGGCTGGGCACGGTGGCTCACGCCTGTAATCTCAGCACTTTGGGAGGCCCAGGTGGGCAGATCACGAGGTCAGGAGATCGAGACCATCCTGGCTAACACGATGAAACCCCGACTCTACTAAAAATACAAAAAACTAGCTGGGCATGGTGGTGGGCACCTGTAGTCCCAGCTACTCAGGAGGCTGAGGCAGGAGAATGGCGTGAACCCAGGAGGCGGAGCTTGCGGTGAGCCGAGATCGCGCCACTGCACTCCAGCCTGGGTGACAGAGTGACACTCCGTCTCAAAAAAAAAAAAAAAAAAGTTATATGTGGATTTTTGACTGTGTGGGGATTGGTGCCCCTAACACCCAAATTGTTCAAGGATCAACTCTAGTTGCAGAAGAGACCATATGGCCCTTGAAGCTGAAAATGTTTTCTATCCAGCCCTCTAGAGCAAAAGTTTGTGGACCCCTGGGATGTGGACCACTCCCATCCCACCCTCTACCCACTAAGCTGTCACCTCCATCTCATGCACCTTCCACACCCTAATCTACACGCTACTCCCTGCACATCCACACCATATCCCGGCCACTCTCCCTGGCTGCCCCTCCAAGACTTTCTCTCACTTCTGGGTAATACTGAGCCCCTTGCAAGCTGGCATTTTTACCCCCAAGGAAAAGGACAGGAAGCCTACTGAGTTAAGTGGGGTGGGGTCATATGGGGTCTGGAACCTGGGACCGATCGGGACCTGGGCTTTGTTTGGCCAAGGACCCTGGACTAGACGCAGGCTCCGCGTTTGAGGTGCCACGTCAGGGAAGTGGTCCCATGCTTGGGATGGCCTTGGCTCTGGGTTCAAAGCTGAGGCTCTGGATGGGTCTTGGAGGCCAACACTGGCCTGGGCTCTCTCACCTGTGACCAGGCTGGAGACAATGAGAGGTAACACCAGCATCTGCAGCATCCTCATGAGAAGCTCTCCAGGAAAAGAGAAGTACTTGATCTGGCGGTAGGTGAGCTGATATGGGCGCAGGGCAAAGGCCAGGCTGACCCCTAAGGTCAAAAGAAGGGGTCCATGGACTGAAGTCTGGGTTGCCCAGCCCTAGGCAGGGTCCATCCACCCTAAGAAGGCTAGGGCAAGGGTGGTAGTGAGGGAGAGAAATATCCTATGAGTGTGTGTATTCGTGTGTGCACTGATGTGTGCAGACATTGTAGAAGTGTCTGCATGTATGGGTTACCATACTGATACCGTGTAAATGTGTGTCCATGTCTGTGTAAATGTAAATGTGTAAGTGTATACATATCCAGGATATGTGACGGTAGACGTTCACTTGTAAACAGGCATAGGTGTCTGTATACAGGTGCATATACACATGAATGTGCACACGTGTTTTCCTGGACATCTATAGGTGTGATTTGTGTGTATGTTACTATTTTCAAACATGCGAATGTATGTGGTTTTTAAACTCATAAGTGTGTGCACGAGTACTCAAGAGAATGCATGTGGAGATGTGAATGTGTTTATAAGTTCCAATGCACATGCACAAGTGTGCATGTAAGTTTCTGTGTTTGCACCTATAAGTTCAATGCATGCATATGTGTGTGCGCAAAGTGTGTTTGTACATTGTATATGTGTATATATGTGTGTGTGTATACACAAGGATATGCATGTGACATTGTGTGCACACAGTTGTGTTTGCACACATGCGTATTCATCTGTGTGGTGTGTCTTTATGTGGGGTTGAGGGTGGCTAGTGGGACTGGGAGGTGTGTGCAGGTGAGAATGAGGGAGTGGAGCAAAGAGATGTGTACGGGCCAGGAATTTCCCTGAAGTCCCCGCCGTTCCCTGAAGTCCCCGCCCTCCAGGAGGCAGAGCTCACCGATGACCACGGCGCTGACCGTCAGCAGGATGAAGGCGTTTCGACGCAGGAAGCGCAGCACGTGTTCGCGAGTCATGGTCTGCAGGCGCAGGCGGGTGCGCAGTGCTCGCTGCTGCAGGCTTTCCTGCAGCCGCTGCAGCCAGCCCACCCGGCCCAGCCGCTGGCCGCTCTCCCGCAGGAACAGGCTGTTGCCATGGCTGCTCATGGTCTATCTGCGGGAAACAGAGAAGCCTGGGGCTGGTGAGGGCCAGGACAGAAGGCAGGCGTGGGCAGATGGCGAAGGCTGGGAAGAGTGATGAGCGCCTCCTGAGGACTCTCAGAAGGCGGGGGTGGCTGGGTGTTTTGGCTCAGGCCTGTAATCGCAGCACTTTGGGAGGCGGAGGCAGGAGAATCACTTGCACCCAGGAGTTCAAGACTGGCCTGGGCAACATAGTGAGACCCTGTTTCTAAAAATTTAAAAACAGCTGGGGATGGTAGTCCTAGCTATTCGGGAGGCTGAAGCAGGAGGATCGCTTGAGCCCAACAGTTCAAGGTTACAGTGAGCTACAATCTTCAAGATGGTGAGACCTCCACCCCTCCAAAAAAGCACAAAGGCCAGGCGCACTGGCCCACACCTGTAATCCCAACACTTTCTAAGGCCAAGGCAAGAGGATCGCCGGGGCCCAGAAGTTTGAGGCTGCAGTGAGCTGTGATTGCACCACTGCACTCCAGCCTGGGTGACAGAGCACAGCCCTGTCTCTAAGAGCAACAAATAAATAAAAATAAAATTTAAAAAAAAAAAAGGCAGGGGAGGGGGAAGGTCAGTCTGTTGAGATGTGCCCATCTGAGGACACCTGAGACGCTGCCTGGGGTTCTAAGGTCAGGTCTTGGCAGGAAAAGGTCAAGTCTCCAGAATCATTCCTGGGAATGGCAGGGAAGAGGAGGAAACTACAAAATAATGGACCCTTTTGACATTCCCTGACTCCAGCCCATTCTTTTTTCACTGAGATTATCACAAGCCTCTGGGGGCTGCCCCAGCGGCTCAAAGGAAATTAACAAGCCTTTGTGAAGTACCAGCTGCATATGGAGCCCTAGACAAAGCACCCGGAGGCTAGTCCTCTCAATTAAGACGGTTTTGTGTCCAGCCTGGAGGCTTTTCACAAGGACAAAATCAGCAGAGCAGGTGCCCAGTAAATGCGGCTACTCTGCCTGAATGCCCAGGTGAGCAACACGGAGAGCGGGGAGTCCTTTGGGAATGAAATGATAATGACTCTTGGCCACAGTGTGATGTTCATGAGCCCCGCTGGGGTGGCAGGCACTGTACTGCTGTTTCCCAAACTGCAGACTTTCGTGTCTCCTCCTTATATTTGGCGATATCCATGTGTCCTAATTCACTTATCTAAAAAACAGTACCGAACCAGGCGCCGTGGCTCACGCCTATAATCCCAGCACTTTGGGAGGCCAAGGCGGAGACATCACTTGAGCTCAGGAGTTCGAGACCAGCCAGGCTAACATGATGAAACTCCGCCTCTACTAAAAATACAAAAATTACCCCGGGCATGGTGGCAGGTGCCTGTAGTCCCAGCTACTTAGGAGGCTGAGGCAAGAGAATCACTTGAACCCGGGAAGTGGAGGTTGCAGTGAACAGAGATCGCACCACAGCACTCCAGCCTGGACGACAGAGTGAGACTCTGTCTCAAAATAAAAATAAATAAATAATTACTTAAAAAATTAAAATTAAAAATGTATGTAAAATGGAAACTTTAGACCCCTACTTGAAATGTGAATTATATTTTTCATCAACATTAAATACAATGCATATAAAAATTAAAACCTGCCCATCCATCTACCAACTAAACACTTCACATGTACAGGGTGGCTTAGAAATTGTGATTTTCATGGGCCTGTGTGATTTCTCTTTGTGCACCCTTTTCTTCATTTAAAAAAAAAAAAGTCTACATTAAAATTCTGTTTTACAACTGCATTCATATAAAGAAAAATATATTATTTCAGAACGAGATAGAGGTGATAATTATTGCACAACATAATGAACATACTAGATGCTATTGAATTGTACGTTTTCAAATGGTTGCTTCCGTGTCATGTGAATTTGCCCTCAATTTTAAAAATGGAGCCAGCTACTGTGGCTCCTACCTTTAATCCCAGCTACTTGGGTGGCTGAGTGGGGAGGAGCACCTGAGCCCAGGAGTTCAAGACCAGAGACAGAATGTCGCTCTGCCACCCAGGCAGGAGTGCAGCTCACTGCAGCCTCCAACTCCTGGGCTCAAGTGATCCTCCCACCTCAGCCTCCAAAAGTGCTGGGATTATAGGCACGAGACACCGCACCCACCCTAAAAAAAATAAAAATTAAAATGAATATGTTAATATTATACATTATACCATTTTCTTTCACCTAAACGCTTGTTTCTGTCTTCTAATTTTAAAAGAGATGAAAACATCAGGGAAATAGAATTGTACTAGAGGCTGGGAAGGGCAGGCAGGAGGGGAGGATGGGGCAAGGTTGGTTAACTGATACAAAACTACAGCTAGAGAGAAAGAATGAGTTCTGGTGTTCTGCAGCACCATAGGGGGACTATGGTTAATGATCATTTATTCTATATTTTCTAAAAAGCCAGTAGAGAAGGTTCTGAGCATTTGCACATTAAGAAATGATCAATGTTTGAGATGATGGACATGCTAATTATCCTGATTTGATCATTACACATTGTATACATGTATCGAAATATCACTCTGTATCCCACCAATATGTACAAGTATTTCGTATCAACTCAAAATAAAAGGGAACAAAAAGAAATGAAAACGACCAGGGCGCAGTGTCTCGCGTCTGTAATCCCAGCACGCTGGGAGGGCGAGGCGGGAGGATCACTTGAGGTCAGGAATTCGAGACGAGCCTGGCCAATATGGCGAAACCCCATCTCTACGAAAAATACAAAAATTAGCTGGATGTGTCACACGCCTGTAATCCCAGCTACTCCAGAGGCTGAGGCAGGAGAATCGCTTGAACCTGGGAGGCAGAGGTTGCAGTGAGCCAAGATTGCACCACTGCACTCCAACTGGGTGACAGAGCCAGACTTTGTCAAAAAAAAAAAGAGAGAGAAGAGAAGAGAAGAGAGAAGGAAGGAAGGAAGAAAGGAAGGAAGGAAGGAAGGAAGGAAGGAAGGAAGGAAGGAAGGAAGGGAGGGAGGGAGGGAGGGAGGGAGGGAGGGGAGAGGAGAGGAGAGGAAAGGGAGAGAAGGGAGAGAAGGGAGGGAAGAGAGGGAAGGAAGGAAGAGAAGGAAAGGAAGGAAGGGAAGGAAGGAAGGAAGGAAGGAGGGAAGGAAGGGAAGACGTTTATGTAGGTCCCTAAAAGCACTGTGTGCTATAGGTACTATACCTCCTAACCTACACTGTTCTCATAACCAAGAAAGGGTGGTGCCCTTCCTCCAGGCATACTGAGAATTCTGTTCTTCCTTCTAGACCCACTCTTAGGCTCCCTCTCCCACTGGCTCCCTTTTGATCTGCCCAGTGGAAAGGACAACAGTATGAAGATTTCTCAACGAACTAAAAATAGAACTACCATCCCATCCAGAAACCTCCCTACAGAATATCCACCCCACGGAAAACAAATCATTGTATCAAAAGGATATCTGCACTGGTATGTTTCTTCACAGCAATATTTGCAATCACTTAGATATGGAATCACCCTAAAAGTCCACCAATGGACGATTAAAGAAAATGTGATACAGATAAGTGTGTCACATTGTAGATAAACAGATCTGTATCACATTTATATTGCTATCACATTTTCTTGCTACATTGTTGATTATGTTATTGTATCTATGTTTCGTTATGTATATAATGGAATACTAATCAGCCATAATAAAGAATGAAATGTTCTTTACAGCAACATACATAGAATTGGAGGCCATTCTCTTAAGTGAAATAATTTAGAAGCAAAGTGTAACACCGCATGTTTACTTATAAGTGGGAGCTAAATAATGTATACACAAGGACACAGAGTGAAATAACAGACACTGAAAACTCGAAAGAAAGGGTGGGAGGGTGAGAGGGGGCTGGGATGTGAAAAATTACTTAATAGGTACAACACACACAATTAGAGTGATGTTTACACTAAAAGCCCAAACATCATCACCATGCAATCTATGCATGTATCAAAACTACCCTTGTACCCTCTAGATGTATACAACATTCTTACGTTCTTTTCTTTTTCGTTTTTTTTTTTTTTTTTTTTTTTTTTTTTTTTTTT